AAAGATCGTTTATATGTCATGCATTGTGTTACAACTTTTTACATGCTTTATTTAACCCTCATATGTGAACTGTAAGGAAGGTATATTTATTTTCATTTTTCTATTATTTTAGGATCTTTACAAAAATTTTCAGGTTAATATGAGGGTACAAACAACCAGGTCACAAAATTTCAATTTGTTAGGTATAGTCCCTCTTGTAGTTGTGTCCCACACCCAAAAAGTGTTCCATATACCCCTATATTGTGTCCATTAAGTGGGTGCCCTCTAAATCCCCTCATTTTCCACTCCCTTGTTCCCCCTCTCTCCAGTTTGAATTGAAGTGAATTTTTCTCATATGTGGGCGTGAATTAGATCATCTACTGGCTTAATATTAGTATTGAGTACATTGGATATTTGCTTTTCTGTTCTTGTGATACTTTACTGAGAAGAATGTGTTTCAGCTCCATGCAGGTTAATATAAAAGTTGTAAAGTTACCATCTTTTTAATGGCTGAACAGTATTCCATGGTATACATATACCACAGTTTGTTAATCCATTCCCGAGTTGATGGGCATTTAGGTTGTTTGCACATCTTGGTGATTGTAAATTGTGATAAATAATCTAGTGCAAATGTCTTTATAATAAAAGGATTTTTTTTTCCTTCTGGGTAAGATGCCTAGTAGTGGGATTGTGGTATCAAATGGGAGATCTAATTTGATTTCTTTGAGGATTCTTCATATTTCTTTCCAAAGAGGCTGTATTAGTTTGCAGCCCTACCAAAAATGTTAAAGTATTTCACTCTCTTCACATTCCTGCCAGTATCTACAACTTTGGGACTTCGTGACATGGGCTAATCTTACTGGGGTTAGGTGATATCTCAGGGTGGTTTTGATTTGCATTTCTCTGATAACTAGGGACAATGAGCATTTTTTTCATAGTTAGTTAGCTATTTGTCTGTTACCCTCAGGAAAGGTTCTGTTCATGTCTCTTGCCCAGTAATAATAGATGAGATTGTTTGCTCTTTGTTTTTTTTTTTTTTTTTTTTTTTTTTTGGTCACTTAATTTGAGTTCTCCATAGATCTTAGTTATCAAACCTTTGTCAGATTCATAACACACAAATATTTTTTCCAATTATGAAGCTTGTCTTTTTCCTTTACTTGTACCCTTAGCTGTGAAGAAGATTTTCAGTTTAATTAAGTCTCATTTGTTTATTTTTGTTGTTGTTGAAATTGCCATGAACATCTTCTTCATAAAATCTTTCCCTAGGCCAATATCCTCAAGAGTTTTTTCCTTACTTTCTTCTAGATTTTTTTTATCATTTCATGCCTTATATTTAAATCCTTTATCAAATTTGAAACAATTTTTGTAAGTGGTGAATGGTACGGGTCCAATTTCAGTCTTTCACATGAGGTTAGCCAGTTCTCCCAGCACCAGTTAGTGAATAGGGATTCTTTTCCCCAGTGTCTGCTTTTGTTTGGTTTAATCAAAGATCAGATGGTTGTAGGAGACTGGTTTGATCTCTTGGTTTTATATTTGGTTCCAAATGTCTATGTCTCCATTTTTGTGCCACTACCATGCTGTTTTGATCACTGTGGACTTGTAATACAGCCTAAAGTCAGGTAAGGTGATACCTCCAGCTTTGTTTTTATCACTAAAAATTGCCTTGCCTGTACGGGTTTTTTTCTGGATCCATATGAAATGAAGAACTGTGTTTTCCCAGTTCTTTAAAGTATGATGTTGGTGTTTTAATGGGATTATATTCAATCTGTACATTGCTTTGGGAAATATAGATATTTTAACAACATTTATTCTTCCCAGCCAGGAGTATGGTATGCGCTTCCATTTGTTAATATCTTCTGCTATTTCTTTTCTTAGGCCTTCATAATTTTCTTTGTAGAGGTCCTTCAGCTCTTTTTGTTAGGTATTTTATTTTCTTTGAAGCTACTGGGAAGGGAATTATGTCTTTAATTAGTGTCTCAACTTAGCTGTTATTGACATATACAAAGGCTATTGATTTCTGGACATTGATTTTATGCCCTGAATGTTACTGTCTTGTCTTGTCTTTCCTTCCTTCCTTCCTTCCTTCCTTCCTTCCTTCCTT